ATTATTTACAAGAATTTTGAATAAAAGGCTTCAAATAATTCTTCGCAGTGTTTAATATCCGAATCATTAAGAATCCTTACAAGCTTAAAGGATATCTAAGGACATTTACTGGTCTTTAAAAGTCTTAAACAGTTCTGAAAAATCACTATGGGGCTCTAAAGGTCTATAAGAATCCCCAAAGATTTTAAGCGTTTATAAGTGACTTCGAGGCTTTTGGATTTTATTATATAAGACGATAAAGGGATATTTTAACCATTGAGCGAATAACTTTCATTAGATGGTTAGTATCGTCGTTTATAATACAAAACTAAATTTTAGACGTCACAAATAGCAAGCTTAGATTCAGCCGTCGCGGTCGTTTCCATAGAAACAGCATTGTATTATGTTATGAACGTCATTTTATTTCGTGCACCGCGTCCCATTTGAAATAAGAATGACGCATTAGAATGCCCAATCACGGTTAAAAAGCGACTTAGCCTACTCATTCAAGCCTATTAAAATGCCAATGTAAAATCTATGCTATAAAATAAAAGTTATTAATAAGATTTAATTTTAAAGTGTAAAGAGATTGTTGAGAGTCTTAAAGGGTTTTTTGTAGAATCCGGAATCTTTATGACCGTCTTCGAAAGCATTAGTGAAACCCACCCTTCAAAAATATTTGCTATTCCTTAAGTCTTTAAAAATCTCCTAGTGGTTCTCGATTTATTTTATCACTTTAGACCTTTTAAAAGTTTTTAAAAACTTTTCATAAAAAGGAATTAATATCCGAATCTTGAAGACCCTTTACAAACTTTAGGGATCTCTAAGAGCAATTCAAAATCTTTAAGGCTTTTGAAAGCCTTTTGTTTACATAGCTTTTAGTGTATAAGAACCATTAAGAGCTGAGCAACCCTTAAGAAGATTAATGAGTCTGTAAAGAGTTGCCAATGTCGAAATTTCTACAACGTTTTTTTTGAGTAGTCAATTTTTAAGAAGTTTAAGAGCTTTTACAAGTCCTTAAAGTTTGCAAATGTCCAAGAGCTTTTTTTTTAATATTCAAGAGCTCCTCCTTCCTTTTTCAACGAACCTTGAGAACTGTGAAAAGTCAAAAGACTCTTTAAAAGCTCTTCCGAGTTTATTCTACGGCTTTAACATTGATTTTACTGGTCTCTAAAAGTATTTAAGGGCCATCATTAGTCACCACCGCCCGCGCTGTCTGATGGATAAACCTTTAAATGCGTTTTTGGCCTTGAAGAGTCTTTATTTATTTTAAATAAGCTTAACGAAGAGCGTCTAAGATCCATTACGAGCTTTAAATCTCTTTAAGTGCAAGAAAGACTAAAAAACAGATTTTTATACGTTTCCAAGTGCTACTATAGGCTCTGGAAGCCTTTCACTATTTTTAATAATCTCTAAGAGCGTTTAAAAAATCAGTCATACGTTTTAACAGAGTTTCAATATAGAAGGGACGTCCAAAACTAATCCATATATTGAAAGGCTCTTTACAAGATTAACAAATTTTTAAAATGCATTTAAGGATCTTTAAAAATATTACATTTAACATCTTTCAAAGGATTCGGGAAGCACGAAAGGTTTTCTAAGGTATTAAAGTCATTTAAAAAGTCTTCTAGAAGATTTGAGGGCGTTTTAATGTCTTTAAAGTGTTTAAAAGACGCGCATTGAAGAGCTTTTAGGGATTATTCACCATCTTCAAAATCCGTATATGTCTTCAAAAACATTTAGCAACCGTCAAGGCTTTAAAGGTCTTTATTAAGGGAGATTGTAAGGATCCCCAAACTAAACTTGGAAGAATTTTATAGCAATACATGATGGGAAAATTAAAGAACTTGAGATGAAATTGAATAGATGGAAATCTGAGGAGCATGAATGAACTTATCTTAAAGAAAAATTGAAGAAAGAATCAAGAAGAACTTTAGACGAACTTCCGAAAGGCCTTGGGAAAAATATTCTGGGAGTTTTAGGACAACTTTGGAAGCTACTCAGAAGCTTGGATTAAAAGAGAAATTGAAAAGGGAACTGGTAATCTGCGGGAAACTGGGGTGAAATTTGAAAACAATTTGTTGAGAGCTTCAGGAGAGTTTATCGTTAACTTGAGAGATACTTAAATTAAATTAAGGGAGGCCTTAGGGGCACATGAAGAGAATTGAAAAGCTTTTTTGAAGAGAGTTGCGTGCCTCACAGTTACCTCGAATATGAAAGGATTCATATGCAACTTGATTAGTCGCCTTTTACGACACGCAGTGTCTCTGCGGTAGGATTATTCTTCTATCCGATCCTACACGGTAAGTTTAGATATACCTAACACCAAAACGTCATTAGTCCATAAAATTGAGTCAAGTCAAAATGATGAAATCACCTTCTGGTAACAATAATTTAACTGAAGAACCTTTAAATAAAACTGTTTAAGAAACTTTTGGAATTTTTAAGAGATTTTATTGGCCTATAAGAGCAAAGTTACCAAATGTTTTCTCTGCAAGAATATTCACCACCGCCTTTTGGTGGTTATTAGAGCCCCTCCAAAACCTAGTCCTCTAGAGCGTTCAAGAATCTTTAATAGTGTTTAACATCCGAAGCCTTTATTTAAAACCATTTAGGGCCTTACGGACCTCTAAGTGCTTAAGAAACGTTCCGAACGTCTCTAAGATTTTTTTAATATGTAAAAACCTTTGAATTTTTAAGTTTCCTGAATCTGCAAGTGTTCGAAAGTCTTCAAGAATTTCAATAGTCACCAAGAGCATTCCAAGGAGTCCCCCTTGAAGCTCATAGTTTGTAAGTTCCGAGACTTTAAGAGTTTTTAAGTCTTAAAGTGTCTTTATACATCTTCAATAGCATTAAGACGTTTTGGTTATCACCGTTTAAGAGTAAAGGTATTATTTATTTATCTTTTACAAAGTTACATTTTTCAAAATCCTCCAAGAGGATGTTATACCTTTAGTAAACATTTACAGTGTTGAAAGAACGAACCTTAATCGTTAAGCACTATTTATGAGTACTAAATGGTTTCTAAGATTTTTTAGCGAGTATCCCAGACATCGGGGCGCCATCAAGTCGGTAAAAGATAAGTCACCTGCGTTAAGAACTGAAAGCGAATGCTTTCCTTGAAATACGATACTCCTTCGAGAACGTTCAGCGAAACACAATGCGTTCAACTGGCGCAGTAATAGTAAAATTCGCTCACTTGGATAAGTCGTAGTTAAAAATTGGTTGCTGATCAACTTAGCAAGCTGAAACAGTTGCGGCTAACCACGGTTCAAAAGAAACCATTTGGTTTTTTCGACTGTTCAAAAAAAAATCTCTCTCAAATGGGCCTAATGAAAAGGTGCAATGCCATTTAAAAAAATGCAATTGTTTTTCGTTAATCATTTGTTTTCAGAAATAAAAACAACTGAATATACTGCCTTATTATGGGAAATAAAATGTTATAGATCGTCTCACGTAAAAAAGGAATCGGGAGAAAGTAGTGTAACCTCCCACTAAGTTTATTGTGGGTGGTTCCAACGGCCCGAATAATTACCAGTTTTATACCTATCTTTATTCAAAGCACAGCGACATTGAGATGAACAATAAACTTAGTGGGAGGTTACACTACTTTCTCCCGATTCCTTTTTTACGTGAGACGATCTATAAACAACTTTCATATCGAAAAATTTTGTATACTTTCGATATTTACCGATATGTATACTATATTCCATACATAATGGACACCCTGTATTTTACCCAAAACCGTCATGGAACCTACTTTATATCAGGAAACCTTAGTCTCCATCACAGAGGCACAGCAGACTACTTTTCCTGACGCCTGTGACCGGCAAAACCTGTCACTTTTCCGATCGTACCTGTTGTCTATAATGACATCGGTCATCACTGACAGATTGACATTAATCAAAAATTCTATATAAAAATTGACATTTTATATTAAAATACGATTTTGTGTAAAATTTAATGCAAAACTCGTCAGTAAAATGACATTACTTGACTTGGAAATGTCCCAAAGGGGCCTCGTACTTCAATATTTCCCCGCCAGTAATGTGTCATTTTTCTGACTGTTGTAAATAGGTATTGTCAGGCGCCCTATAACCCGGGGCCTGGGTATTGTAAGTTTCCAGACCAACCGTAGGGGCCCAACATCGCCATAGGTGTGCCGCCGTGAGTATTAGCGGAAGACCATTATACGTGCGCTTGGGTGTGAGCGAGATAACTATACGCATAGAGTGCTGTCGATATCGAAAGTAGGTAAAGAAGGTATCTGACAAGTGGCAGTATTCATTTCTTTACAATACTAATTCTCTAAAAGGCCGTAAGGATATTTCGACTGATGTCGTCTTGTGATATGGATATGTATTGGGGGAAGGGGGATGGGGAGTATAGGAAAAAAGCAAAAATTTGAGGTGGATATGTACAAGTGCTTTGGTGAAAATAAAAGACCCTAGTGCAGATATTTCCTTTTATTTGTCATTACAGTTCAACGTACCATTAATGAGTGACAGTTCGAAAGCCTCTAAAGGTTTTTTAGGTTTCTAGACGTTCTAAAAATTGAGACTTTGAAGACGCCAGTCCGATGATTCTAAAATTTCTTGCTGTTCAGAATACCCATGTTTTACTGATATGCAGTACTTCTAAGAGTTGTCGGGGTTCCAAAGATTTTAAAAATCTAAAACAACCGAAATATATTATACAGGTACATATTTACCACTAAATCGAGGCAGTGTAGAGCGAAGAACCATCCGGTATAATAAATATCGGTAGGTACATACGTCCAAATTCTGGTCTATTCAGGTATTCTTCCCACCTAAAAAAATACTATTAGATCCCATATTTCTAGTCATTTGCACCAAAGATGACCTTTACGTTACTAGTTTTTAATTCTCTATCGCATATTAATACATGAACGAAAAAGAGATGGCATCAATTTGACTAGTCACGTCAAGGTAATCTTTGTAGATTTAACGCGCGAAATTCAAAAGTTATACGTGACACAATTTCAATTTATTAATTAAGTATACAGTTAAACTTAAATTTTATTATCAAACGATACAAACTGTTTTGTAAACATAGAGAAAACTTATTTACTTAAAACTAGTATAAAATATTAACAGTTGATAACATAATTGCTTTCACTATAAACAATTTTTACAACAAATAAAAAAAAATAACTCATTAAACTATACGTTACAGAATGATTAGATTTGACACTCTCCACTAGATAGAGGCACTCTAATCTAGCAGCAACTATGATAATAGAGAGAGAGAGAAGGGGGAGGGTTTGATTAAATCAGTCAAATCGCAGGCGTCATAACCTAAACAATTCTTTTGTATAAAAAATAACTCGTATCCTATACAACTTAACGTAAACATAAATATTTGTACATAAGCACTTTCCAACAAAAGAATTTGCACAAACTTTATTCTTTGGTTTGTTAGTAAAAGTTTGTAAAAAAGGTCCACTTTTACAAACTGCAAAAATCAAAAAGAAAAAATTCTAAAACTAAAAGGGTGTCTACGTATAAACAAGTTTGTCATTAACTTAAAACAAAAAAACTTTGCCCTAGCTGTGTATCACACTCGACGCGATTCTCGCGCGCCTTCAAACTTAGGATGAGAGAGATACGACGGTCGGTCGATCCATGTGCTCGCCGTTGATAATAACTTTGGTATTGTTGTTGTTATTGTTGACGATGTGTGGTGAGTTCGGGCTCGGGGAGGTGGTGGACGGGGGGCTGGGGCTGGCCTGCGGCATTATGTCGTAGTAGCCCATCTGGGGGGACGGCTGCGAGGAACCGTAGGGTGATAATCTCTGGCTCTGGGTCGTGTTGTACGAGTAACTGTTGGTCGATGCGGGGTGTTGGAGGTGGTTCATTGAGGTCATCGTGCGTATGTCGCTGTAGTTATCTGGGGGGGCGCGGGTGGGTTAGAGCTCGTCGGTGGTGGGGGGGTGCTTACCTAGTCCGTGCTCGATTTTTATACCCGGAAGACCGTGTTCCAGCTTGATGTTGGGGGAGGAGGTCGAAAGAGAGTTCGATAGGTTTGGGGTGTTTCCGTTCACTTCCTTCGTACCTTTCGGTTTGCGTTTCCTAGTCTGATGATTGGGTTAGAGGCAGTCGCACTTTGTAATTGTGTGGCTTACCTGAATACTATCCTTCTTCATGGCTAAAGGTCGGTTAACACCGTGTAGCTTGAAGTACAAGCCGCAGGCGTTACAGACCGGTTCTCCTAGCGCGTTTCGCCTCCAGAGGGACGTGGTGCTTGTATGGCAGTTGGTGCAGGTTAATCCCACACGTCGTGAAGCAGACTAGAAGTATGAGTTGTGTAAGTGGAGTGTTCGGGTAAAAAAACAGAAGTGTGTGAAAACTGCACATGCGTTAAAGCGTAACATGCTAAGACTAGAGCAGGGCCGGCCTAGAGTAAGAAGATATTGTTAACAAACCTGCGCTGCTCCGGTCCTGGGTATGATGGGGCCACCGCACGCATTTTGAAAGAATTTTGATAGGTACAGAAAGTAAAAAAAAAGCTAAATCGTAAGCAAAACAGGGGGGAGAAAAACTACATTTTTTACTCTAAGAGAAAGGTAATAGAAAGATCATGTTTTTAATGCATTAACCTACCAAACGGCGGCTGGATTTTTCCTCGGTGTGTAATGGGCCTCGAGTGGCCCCATTATACCCGTGGTAGTAGCTCTTGTAGTAATCGCCAACAACACCCCCGTGCCCCGGCTCCGCCGCCACTGGAACGCAACAAAAGGGTTAAGCATGCATTGAAAACACGGCGTTACTAATGTGTAAATAAATGCAGCAGCGTCGCCCGTCACGGGGTGTTTTTTAATTATTTTAATGATATTAATTAGTACTAAAAAGCCGTATTTACACGAAGATCGCGACAAATTTGGCCGGATCTTCACGTAAATTTCTGAAAAATCAAATTAGGTACCAATCGACGTGGTTGCTTTACAAGGGGCCTATTCATGCCATTCATCTTATGGTAGAGGCCACAGGCATTGCAAAGATAATGTCCGGTGCCGTCCCGACGCCAGAGAGGTGTATCGATTGCACCACAGTTCACACATTCTCTCCCTTCGGTGAAATATTCAGCTGCCCTTCCGTCTACTGCATTTAGATAATACATTGGTTTTTATTTCTATACATTTAAAGAACATGAACAACGAAGTGTGCCATTGCTACAAGAACAATTTACGTGCAACCCCATTTTTTTAAGTGGTTATCGCTAACAAGCTTTTAAAATATCCGGTGTTATTTATGCGTACTCGTTTGTAACAATTTCCGTTTCTATTTCATCCTGCTTTGTGAAATATCTTCCGAAACCCAAGTTTTCCTAATGAAAATTTAATTATCCCATCAGTTCTAAATCATTATAGCTAAAAGATTACGTCTTAAACTGTTTCTAATTCGTTTCCGATGACGTGGCAAAAAAAATTCGCGCTGACTGACTGCCCTTTTGTTTTATTTACATTTCCCACTCATTGCGATAACAATAAGTCCATTCATTGCTGAATAATTAATGAGTCAGGCGAGAAGAACACGTGGCCGTATCTGGACATTCCATCAATTAAGAGCGAAATGTTACAAATAAACATCCGGATTCGCGTTATTATTTTTAGGAGTGCAATGCCGAAAAAGTGGCGGCACTTGCATCAAACACCTACGCTTATTAATTCCGCGAAATGTGAAGCGTCCCGTGTGAAAATTATGCTGCAGTCCTACTTGAAGAAAAGCAGTTTCCCTGGCGTATCAAATGACGAATCCTTGAAATTCTAATTTGCACTAAAGATTCTCTTACAAAAGAAATTGCGGGTCTCAACACAAAATATTGCAAGTGCAAAGCTGAGACTTAGTTTATAATAGAGCAATTCTAATTCTGGAGGCCTCGGACCTTGATTTGCCATCTACACTTAGCCCACAAGAAGGAACCACCGAAGACATTGCTAAATAGTCTAAACTTCTTCACCAAAGACCCGTCTTTCATCCTACCGTGAAATTTATCTTCCACAAGCACAAGTTTTGGGTCTAAAGCTGATGAAGATCTCTAAACGGGGCTAGAACTTTGAACCTGGCGGAAAGGAGTAGTTTTTGGGTTTTTTTAGTCCTTTACAGGTCTACGTGAGCGTGGAATACTCTGGGAAGGACCAGAGGACCAGACGAGCTTTCCTATCCAAGATGCTTGTGACATTTTCCGAATATTTCCAGGTCCTGTCAAAATGATAAGACGTCCCGAAAAGGGCCTGGAAATAGTCTACGAAAAAAACTGAAGAGGACCTAAACATCCCTGGGAAGACGATACCGGATAGAGTGCTCTGGAAACCATTATAAACTTTCGAAAAGCGTTCTGAGAACGTTCGACATTATCGAGTATTCTTTTGCTGGGGGTATTTAATACCCCATCAACCACCCGCTATACAGGGTGTTTTTTTGGGAGCTTTAGTTAAAAGTTTCTGGGAAAGTAAAATAGGTAGGTTTTTGAAAATTTGTACTTAGGAGTTACTCTGAAGGCCGAATCGATGTAAAATATTTTCAAAATGGCCGCACTTCCGGAAACACCGGAAGTAGATAGTAACTTCCGTTATTTTAAATGGCAACCCCTATTTTTTATTGCTTTTTTGGATTCTACGTGAAATTTCACTTCTTTTGATACCCATATGTCGATATCTACCATTTATGGTTTTTAAGTTATTTTGACTTTAAGAAAAAAAATGGCGGATGCAGATGGTACCTTGATAATTGATTACTTGCAAACGGTTGTAGTCATGGCAACCTATTTTTATCAGTGCATAGAGAATGAATAGGGCTTTCTTTTAGTGCACTTAAAAAAAAGTTAAGTTGCGTACGACCGCCCCTATGGATATCCAAATTTATGAAACTTCAAAGACTAAAAACTCAGTTTTTTTTAATGGAATGACCATGTTCTTACTATTCCATGAGATAGAGAATCGAAATGGGCATATTTTGACAATACATGTTCCTATAGCTATCTTTAACAGTTTCTGACTTATTCCCATTTTATTGAATTGACACTATTTTTTTAGGATTTTCTTTTTAGTAGTCGGCCATGATTCTATAACAATTGAATTTTAAACAAATCTAGTGACACTAATCCATCACCCACTGTTATAGGTTAACATAAGTTTTTCAAAAATCGAAAAATGACTCGCAGTGGTTTCACCTATTTTGGAATTTAATTGTTATTTATGGTGAAATGGGCAGAATCGCGGCGCGTGCTTTCCGTACATTCATTCGAAAACTAGAACGAAATTGTATGAATTTTTGAAATTTTGTACCCCTAATGCACTACAAACCGTTGAAGCACAAGTTATACAAAGCTCTACAAGAGAATATTTAAGAAAATGAATTGAATTGCAAATGCAAGATTAACAAAATAAATTCAATGCAAAATATAAAAAACTTTGTTGAAACATTTTTGGTATGGAATTGTTGCTAGAACAGATATCGCATTACCTCTCTTAATTTCCAGACTTATACGTTGTTTAAGAAATTCAGTTGAACGACTCTGTTTAGATTTTTCAAAAATTTTCTGTCCTATATCCTTATTAAATGAGTTATTTATTAATGAATTATTTAGACTAGAACTAGAATCAGTGGTATTAAAGAATCCATTCCTTGATTTGTTTAAAATTCGATTGTTATAAAATCATGGCCAACTACTAAAAAGAAAATGCGAAAAAAATGGCATCAATTCCGAGATCAATTCAATGAAATGGGAATAAATCAGAAACTGTTAAAGATAGCTATAGGAACATGTAATATCAAAATATGCCAATTTCGATTCTCTATCTCATGCAATATTAAGAACATGGTCATTCCATTTAAAAAAACTGAGTTTATAGACTTTGAAGTTTCTTAAATTTGGATCTCCATAGGTGCGGTTGTACGCAACTTAACTTTGTTTTAAGTACAGTAAAAGAAAGCCCTATTCATTCTCTATGCACTGATAAAAATGGGTTGCCATGACTATAACCTTTTTCAAGTAATCAATTATCAAGGTACCATCTGCATCCGCCATTTTTTTTTCTTAAAGTCAAAATAACTTAAAAACCATAAATGGCAGATATGACATATGGGTATCAAAAGAACTGAAATTTCACGTAGAATCCAAAAATGCAATAAAAAATAGGGGTTGCCATTTAAAATAACGAAGTTACTATCTACTTCCGGTGTTTCCGGAAGTGCGGCCATTTTGAAAATATTTTACATCGATTCGGCCTTCAGAGTAACTCCTAAGTACAAATTTTCAAAATCCTACCTATTTTACTTTCCCAGAAACTTTTAACTAAAGCTCCCAAAAAAACACCCTGTATAGTTCCCCAAATACATTTAGTGTACTCCACAGAAAAGATTTGTCCGTCCTTTTCTAAAAAGTAATTATGAGTATGAACGCTCTTGTCCATGAACCTAGCAGAGCAAGGTCAGCAGAACACAATCAAACATATTGGATAATTAGGTGCTAATTAGTGCTAATTAAGCAGAACACTACCTCAAAAACCCAAGAAAATGAAAAGTGAACTAGCTATAATTAGGTGCTGAATAAGTGCCCTATTCCCGAATTAAATGCTCCTTTTTTTTAAATTATTACATGTTCCGCCAGGTGCATATGAACTCATCAGAGGACTACCTCAAAAAGCCAAGAAAATGAAAAGTGAACTATACAGGGTGGTGACTTGCGTAACGCATCATAGGGATTTCAATGTAAAATTCATAACATGCGATTATTGGCTCCCCAAATTATTTTAGAGCAAAAATGTATTAAGGTTTTTTGTAGGAAAAAATTTTTTACGTCAATCAACCCTATTAGTTTTCAATTTTTTGCATAATAAAGACGGAAAATTGGAAAATAAAACCCCCATCTTTTTCAATAATCTGTGATGCCATGGAATTTTATAATACAAAAACTACGCCAATATCCGTCATGCCATGGAATGTCCGCTATAAAACAAATCAAATTCTATCAAAAAGTATTATATTTAGAACAGCGAATTCAACATAAAGAAAGACCAAATTACTAAAAACGGTTTCCTAATATAACAATTTACAATAAATGTTCGAATAAGTCACCATTAACTGCAAGACAGTAACCAAGTCGATCATAAAAGCCATTTCGAACTGCTGCTAATTGATAACTGGATATCTTTTTGTTTTGGAAAATTCCATGGCATCGCAGATTATTGAAAAAGATGGGGGTTTTATTTTCCAATTTTCCGTCTTTATTATGCAAAAAATTGAAAACTAATAGGGTTGATTGACGTAAAAAATTTTTTCCTACAAAAAACCTTAATACATTTTTACTCTAAAATAATTTGGGGAGCCAATAATCGCATGTTATGAATTTTACATTGAAATCCCTATGATGCGTTACGCAAGTCACCACCCTGTATAATTAGGTGCTAATTAAGTGCCATATCCCGGAATTAAATGCTACTTTTTTTTTAAATTATGAACATAATTTAAAAAAAAGGAGCATTTAATTCGGGAATAAGACACTTTATTAGTATCTAATTAGCACCTAATTATAGTTAGTTCACTTTTCATTTTCTTGGTTTTTTTAGGTAGTGCTCAGCTGAGTTCATATGAACCTGGCAGAACATGTAATAATTTTAAAAAAAGTAGCATTTAATTGGGAATAGGGCACTTAATTAGTACCTAATTAGCACCTAATTATGCAATGTTTAATTGTGTTCTGCTGACCTTGCTCTGCTAGGTTAATGGACATGCCGTACCGGGGGGTCTGGGGGATATAGATATCCCCCAGCATACAAAGATTTCAGTACCTTTACTCAAAAGCTAACATGAGGTTGTTAGGGGAAATAGAGAAAGTCTTTTCGAGCCCTCCTTTGCTGAGAACACTGCTGGGGAGCATTCCATACCCCCCAGACCCCCCGGTGCTACGTTGCTCCCCCGAAACGTTTAGTGTTAGGATACTCTACAGGAAAAGAGAGATTCGTTTGTCCTTTTCTAAAAACTAACTCTAAAATGACCTATGAAGCTTTGAAAGGGCCTAGAAAATTGTAAAACGGATCCAGAGAACCTTGAAACAGTGTAAAAAGCTCAGGAAGGGGTACGAATTGTTTTGGATTCTA